TTTTTCTTAGGCAAAGAAAAAAAAAGTAAAGCCCCCAAATTATTTAAGTATCTTTCAGTTTAGTTTTGAGACCAATAAGGCAGTGATATAAAAATCCAGAGGAAGAAGTGTGGATTGAGGACTTAAAGTCAATTACCAAACGCCATGCGTGCTTTACCCAGTATAGAGAGCCCTCCCTGTGCTCACTGTGGCCCAGGAAGTTTATGTTTGTAATCCCATGAAAAGTTATTGCAGCCAGGCGTGGTGGCGCACGCCTTTAAACCCAGCACTCGGGAGGCTGAGGCAGGAGGATCGTTGTGAGTTCGAAACCAGCCTGGGCTATAAAGTGAGCTCAAGGCCAGCCTGAACTGCATATCGAGACTCTGTCTCAAAAAGACAAAAAAAAAAAAAAAAAAAAAGAAAAGTTATTGGCATTTGAGTAAGTTAATTCCAATCTACCGCTTCCAGTGCAACCCAGGGTGAGAATAAAGACACTAAGGCATATTTGTAGCTATGGGGATCCAAGGGGTCCTAAGTCCAGCCATGATGATGGCTATCCAGAACAAAGGCCTCCACCCAGGGCAGAACCCAAGTTTTATTCATACATGAAGAAGGGAGCGGCTTGAGGAGGAGTGACTGTGAGAGTGGCAGGAAGTAGGTGAGTGCCTTGAGCTGGGTTGGGTGGGAGGCCTGAAATCACCTCTGCAAATGCAGAGAGAAGGGTCTGCAGAAAGAGTGGTTTGCATGACACAATTGAGATGGTATCTAATGCTCTGGGGTCATTCTTCAGCTCTGATGTGTAATGTCTGAAGCCCCAGGAAGTCATAGCCTCTATCCCATCCCGATCACAGCGGACGGCGTGGAGCACTGGTTCAACATCCTGCCTCATCCCAGCTCACTCAAGGGAGCAATGGGGGGTGACGGTAGGCGGTGGGGAGGTGTGTCCCGGGAAACACCCCTGCCATCTCCAAAGATTACCATCAGCAATATGCATTGCTTAAAGCCAATTGAAGGGATAAGGAAAAGTCTTCGCCAGCTCTGTACATATCAGTACGTGAAAACAGGGTCAGGCTCAGCCAAAACAGAGGCAGTTGTTCCTCTTTTAAGGTGTTCCTCTACGTGGTCCTCCACATCCCGGGCTGGGCAAGCCAGTTTCCTTATGAGTGTAATGAGAGGGTTGAGCTCTGTGGACTTTGGAGTGTGTTCTGGTTCTAAAGTTCTGTGATTCAATGTATTGTTCTCTTCTGTTGCTTAATTTTGGATGTGTGCACAGCTTCCCCAAGGGAAGCTGACTATGTTTTATTGCACTGCAAGGGCCACTGACAATGGGAATATACTGTTAGACAATTTCCGACTCTCTGTTGAGGCCATGAAGAATTATAAATTGTTCATCCTAGGGCAGGAAACAAAGCCCTTGGATTTGGGAAAGACCTCCTCTTCTCTCTTGGAACCCAATCCATTACTCATGAAAGATGTCCGGTTTGGGGTGCACCTAGGAGCTGTTCGCAGAGCCTCTACTTCCTGGTCACCCTAGTTCCATGTCATTTCCAGATAGGGAAGGATTTGTGGGTACATGAAGGTGTCCCTAAAGATCTGACGACAGAAGAAGCACCCAAACATGATGTGATAGTGGGAGCATCTTCCTGTGCTCTCAGATGCCGCTGCTGTCTCAGTCAGTTTCTCATCACTGGAGCAAAATACTCAGCATCTGCAACTTAAAGGAGGAGAGGTTTATTTTAGCTCGTGGTTTTAGTCCAGAGTCAAAGGCGTGGTGGGAGGGGGTAGGGAGGGGAAAGCTGCTCGCAGCATGGTGGCCAAGAAGCAGGGAGAAAAGAGAGGCATTGGGGAGGGAGATCGGATTCTCTTCCAGGTCCCACCCCAATGACCCGCCTCTTGCTAGCAGACCTTACGTCCTAAAAGCAAGTAAGTCAGCTACATTCCCCCAAGATTCAAGCACCTTCCCAAAACGCTGTCTATGAGTGCACGAGACCTTTGGAGGACATTCCTGACCTACGCCATAACAACTGCCAAATTGACAGTAGAGGTCAGACTCTGGTGGTTCTGAGTGCATGAGGCCAGCTTGTACCAGAGCACCGGCTTTGGTGCAAGGTGAGCACTCTAACCTCAGCACAACAACCTCAACTCTTTCTGCCGTCAACCTCAGCAACCACAGCATTTCTTTATGACTCCAGTGGACCCCCTGTTCTCGACAGTTCTACAGTGAAGACACACTGCAACAATGGTGTTGGAGCTGGGCGTGGTGGCACACGCCTGTAATCCCAGCACTCGGGAGGCTGAGGCAGGAGGATGGTTGCGAGTTCAAGACCAGCCTGGGCTACAAAGTGAGCTCAAGGCCAGCCTGAACTGCACAGCCAGACCCTGTCTCAAAAAAAAAAAAAAAAAAAAAAAAAAAAACCAATGGTGTTGGAAAATGGTTCTTGCAGACAGAATTGATTTTTAAAATGATCCAGGTAAGCACTCATGTATTTCTTGAATTACCCCAGGCAAGAAATCTCAGCACAAGAGAAGGAACTTCACATCCTGGAATGGGGGTGCAGCATTTTGTTTATGTGATTATGGACATGGATGTCATGTTAGTTGGAGCCTCAGCTGGGTGTACCAGGCGTTTCAGCTATGTTTTCTAGTTTCTCCCACGAATAACACTTACTCAGTTGATGCAAACTTGGAATAAGGGAGTTCTGTGGGCCATTAGTTGTTTGCTTTGATTCATTCTCAAGGTGAGGCTGGTGTTGAACTAGGTTGAAGGTTACCAAAAGGTACATAAGAATAAGGTCATTTCTTCAGGTGGAGGTTTGATTTTATTCTTTCATTTCTGAGTAGATGGTTACTCATCTTCAATCTCTATTTTTCTTTCCCTCCTTCCTTTCCACACTCCAATCTTTCTCCTCTTTATAATCTCATTATTACAACTTTAAAAGCAATGGTCAAGAGGAAAGAAAGTCAGGCTTGAAGGTGACTGCTCAATTTCTACACTGGAAACTTCCTTTGCATGTCTCTCTACAAACATACCTTGAACCCTGGGGACTGTGAGCAGGTAAAAAGTGCAAGACACCCCAAACCTTGGTCTAATAAAGTATTCAGAGGGCTGAGTCACTTGAAGTCCTGAGGGTCACATGAGAAACTTTACAAAGGGCATTTCAAGTCCAGACTTTTTTTCTTCTGACTTATCTCCTACTGTATAACAAACTCTTATAAAATTAGTGACTTGAAACGACAGTTGTTATATTTCACCCTCCAGGGGTCAGGCGTTCTGCAGGTCTCAGCCAGGTATTCTGTTCTATCTGGTATTACTTGGGATTGTTCAGAGGGATTCAGTTGCTGCTGGTCTGGTCTGGAGGGTCCAAAATGTTTTTCTTCACATTTCTGGCACTTTAATGGGAATGGATCCAGCTGGAAGGCTGGCTTGGCTGGTTCCTCTTTTGTTTCTTGTTTTGTTTTTGTCTCTGTTGGTTTTTTTCCGGTACTGGAAATCGAACTCACGACCTCACACTTGCCAGGCAGGCGCTGTGCCACTGAGCTAAATCCCCAGCCCCAGGTTCCTTTTTCTGTTCGTGTAGTTTCATGGCTTCTCTCTGTGATCTCTCCAAAGGAGCAAGGAAGAAGTGTTGCCCCCTCCCCCCAGCAATCTGCAATTGAGCTACAGCCCCAGCCTAGTGAGACAAGATCTCACTAAATTGCCCAGCTGGTCTCAAACCACGACACAGTACTCCTCCTCTGCCTCTCCAGTAGCTGGGATTACAGTCACGAATCATCACCCCCAGTTCTCCTGCCTTTTAAAGGCTAGGCACAGAACTAGCATAGCTTTCCCCAGTTCAAAATCAAAGGGGGGGAAATGGAGCCCACTTCAGTATGGGATAAGTGTTATAGAATCTGTAGCCATCTTTAACTCACTGTAGAGGGGCACAGATACACACAACTGGGAACCAAGTGAGCGAGGGACTGGCACTCTATATGCCAGGGGTGGCCAACCTGTGGCACACGTACTGCAGCAGGCTCTTTGTATCATTAAAATCTCTAAAAGATTTGCCATCTCTGCATATGCCAAGGACGCCCAGCACAGAAACATTTGAGTCCACAGATTGAAAACTAACTACCCCGATGGGACGGAGCAAGGCCGTGTGCCGTTAGATACTGCACGCACGTCGGCAGGAGGTTCTAGTTCTAATAGCTAAAGTTAACAAGAAGTTTTAAAGTGTAATCCCTGGTATTAGACTGCTGGGTGATTTTCATTTTGATCCCTGAACTGTGTTTCCTCCTTTGGCAGAGGCAGAAGAGGCCACTGGATCCTTAGACCGAAGCATTTTCCTATGCGACCTTGACTCTTGCATTTCAGACTGCTAAATTCAATAAAGGTTTGACAAAATTGACATAAGTACTCCCAATTACAGCGTGGCAGATGCACTAGACATGCTCTCTGATTCTCCTGTAACTGTGTAAGTTCCCTATGCCGGCCTCATTCCACACATGAGGGAACAGTGGCTGCGAAAGGTTAAAGAGCCAGTCGAGGTTACACAGAAAGAGAAACGTGATTTTGAGCCCAGGCCCACGTGGCTCCAAAACCTTTTCCCACTACCCTACGTGGTCTTTTATAAAATCAGACAGCCTTGAAAAACATCCTTAGCGTCCCGCCTCCGAAAGCACCCAATCCTACGAGGACGGAGTGAACAGCCACCAAGAGGAGCCACAGCTCAGTACCGTACTCCCCGCGTCCCAGTCAAATCAACATAAAATTAACCAACACAACCTGCCAAGGACAGCAAAACACCACCCTCAAAACTCTGGGGCAGCGGTGGCGAACCTATGGCACACGTGCCACGGCCGGCACCTAGAGCCCTCTCTGTTGGGTTGGGGGCCAAGTGTATGAGCTGTTTTTTCTAAACTAAAATCTCGAGTTTAATTGCAGTTGGGCACTCGATCTCTAAAAGGTTCGCCATCTTTGGTCTACGGACTTGTTTCCTAAAGTGCGATTTCCTTTGCAGTTCTAACTGCCACAGTTGGAGGCAAGGGCAACTTGTTTCACTTTGACCTTCCCGTGAGAACCAGGGGCACAAACATTTTCTCAGAACAACAAAAAAGTGCCTGGAACGCCATATGAAGACTAAGAGGCTCATCCTCCCGCTCCTGTCTGTGTGCAGAGATCTTCTGGGTTTTGTATGCCGGTGGAAGAAGCAGCCCATTGGGCCAAGATGGATACTTCCAGGTATATGGAATCCAAGAGTGCAAAGCTTGCTGCGTTGCTGGGAAACTTCAGCTAAGGAAGCAGTCTCTGGAAAGTGAGGAAGAGATGCCGCTCACGGGGCCGGGCGGGAAATGTCACCCAGCTGGGCGGCCCAGCACCTGTGTAGGCCGCACTGCTTACAGGAAGCACCCTGCGTTCAAGTCCAAAGGTACGAATAAACTTGGATCCAGTGAGAAGCAGAGGTTAGCTGACTTCTAAAGCGCATGCACTCGAGTCTCCCTTCCCCAGTCCTGCTCCATTTCGCAATAGCAAGCACCTGGGCCTCCACTTCTTCTGGAGATGTCCTTGGCCTCTCCCAGCCTTCTTTATTCTCTCAGATCCCGTTCCTTCCTCTCTCCCCACGCCCCAGGAAGGCCTTAGGGATGTAGTTTCCTCAAGGACCACTGTGGGTGTTAGTATTTACTGATCACAGTCACTCTGTGGGTGTTTATTTACTGTTTATCTAGTCGTGGTAAATAAATCAATCACATATTTCCTCAGCTCCACAGTGAGTCCATATTCTTGATCGTCTTTATAGTGTTCTCAGTGCCAGAATTGCTCTCAATTCTTCTTATTCTTTCCCTTCATAATAAATGTGAGCAACACTTTTTAATATATTGCACTATTATTTGATATTATATCTCTTGAACTTTTTTCTGCCTGCTAGTACTGGGGATTGAAGCCAGGGCCTCAGCCATGCAGGCAACTGCTCTGCAGTTGTGCCACATCCCCAGCCCTGCTATTATACTTCACACAGCTGTTTTTATATTTTTTAATAAGCAAGAATTAATGGATGATTTTCAAAGAAATTATTACAAAAATTGACTCAGAGGTTGTTAAAAACCCCAAGAAATTGACAGTGGAGCCACGAATTACATAGGCTCATATCATTCAACAAGTTACTGATTTTAAACCCTCAAGGAAGAAATTTTTCTGTTGCTGTCTAATCCAGGGCATAAAGGAAAAATCCTCCTACTTACTTTATGTGGCCAACATATCCTTGGCATCAAAGCTTCATAGAGATCATACATATATACCGCACATCCCACGGAATTGTCTACCCACACACCCCACACTGCACAAATACACACAGACCCACCACACATACATACACCATGCACTATTCACATAGTCATACCCCACATGCCATGCTCTACACAATTATAAACATGCCTCTTACACACATACCACCCATGTACCCCCCACACACACTATACCCACACTACACCACACACATGCACACATACTACTGCACAAATGCAAATATACCCATGTCACACCCACACCCACCCACCCACACACACACAGATAACTCCCAGAGTAACCTTGCTTTTAAATACAATTTAAAAGTCCTAATCAAAATATTAGTAAATCGAATCCAATAGACTATGAAAAGATACACTACAACAAGATGAAAATCATGCCAGGGTGATTCAATTTTTTTATCTTAAGGGGAATAAAAAACCCCAATAAAAACCGTACAGAATTTCAAAACAAGATGATAGGAAATCAACAATGGCCGTTTCATTGCATATTGTGTCTTCAAAGTAGTTGCTCAGATTACCAGACACAGGAATGCAAAATTGATCAGACAGTATAAACACTAACTGTTCCTTTCAATGAACTACAGAAATTAGTAGTACAATTATCTTAGCTAATATATATATCTACATATCTATATATATATCCCTTCCTTCTTTTGTCCTTTCCCCTATCCCAGTTGTTCTCTTCTTTTGAGCAATTTCTTTCCCTTTCACAGTATCTGTTGTACCTTTTGGATCTTATTTACTCTTTCAGTTGTGTATTTTTTTGTTTTTTGTTGTTTGGTTTTGTCTCTTTGAGACAGGGTCTCACTGTGCAGTTCAGGTTGGCCTTGAGGTCACTTTCTAGCCAAGGCTGGTCTCGAACTCACAGTGATCCTCCTGCCTCAGCCTTCTGAGTGCTGGGATTACAGGTGTGTGCCACCATGCTCAGCTGACATACAGTGTTTACAAGTGTGAGTTTGATTTATTTCACTTATGAGTATGGTTTCTGGTTGCATCCAATTACTTATGAAAGCCTTGAGTTTATCTTTCTTTATAGCTCAGTAATACTCCACTGTATAAAAATACCACATCTTTTTTATCCATTCCTCAGTGGATGGGCATTTGGGTTGTTTCCAAGATTTAGCTATGGCAAAGTACACTGCTATAAACATGGACGCATATATATCACTGGGCTTTGATGTTTTTAATTCTTCTTGGAAAATACTCAGAAGGGGAATAGCTGGGTTAAATGGGATCTCTAATCCTAGCTTTCTGAGGAATCTCCACACTGATTTTCACAGTGGTTTCACCAGTCTACACTCCCACCAACATTGGAAAAGAGTTCCTTTTTCCCCACAGCTCCACCAGCATTTGTTATTGGTTGATTTCGTGATGATAGCCATTCTTTCTGGGTTAAGATCAAATCTCAGTGTTGTTTTGATTTGCATTTCTTGAATAACTAATGATGTTGAAAATATATTTTCATATATTTATTCACCATTAGTATGTCTTCATCTGAAAAGTGTGTATTCGTCTCAGATGTGCATTTTTGGATTGGGTCTTTGAATTTGGGGGCTCTGACTTTTTAAAATTCTTTGTATGTTCTAGATAAGAGTCCTTCATGTGAGTGGCAATTGGCTAAAATTTTTTCCCAATTCATGGGTTTTCTTTTCACTCTGTTGTGATTTCTTTTGATGTGCAAAAACTTTTTAATGAGATCCCAGTTGTTGATTTTTTGTAGTATTTCCCATGCAGTTTAGTTTTTGTTCAAGAACTGTCCCTGTCCCTATGTCTTCAAGATTTCTACCTACTTTCTCTTTCAGTTTCTGTTTTAATATTTAGATCTTTGATCTATTTTGACTTTATTTGGGTGCATGGTGATAGACATGGGTCTAGTTTTAGTCTTCAGCATGTGAAGAGCCAGTTTTTCCAGCACCGTTTGTTAAAGAGGCTATCTTTCCTCCAGTGAACATGTTTGGCCCCTTTGTCAAAGAGAAGGTGGCTGAGTGTGTTTGTAGTTGTGTCTGCATCTTCTAATCTGTTCCACTGATCCTCAGGTCTGTTTTTTTGTTAGTACCATGCTGATTTTACAGGGTAATTCAATTTTAGAAAAATCTACTAATTATATAAATAGTCAAAGGAAAATAAAGCTTTATTACCTTCAAAAATATAGAAAAGGAATGTAATTTGACCATTCATTCATGGTAAAACAATGGAAAAAGTGAATGTTTATTTTGTCCTTATGTACTGGGCACTGTCTAACAAGGTTTGTATGCCTTTTCTCATTTAGTCCTCATCACCACCCAACAAGAGAGGTACAACTGCCTGTGTTTAGTGGATGAAGATGCTAACACCCACAAGGGTAAGAGTCTTGCCACAAGTCATAAGCTAGGCAGTCAGTCACAAACCTAGGAAGTGGGCCACAAAGAGGTATTGAGTGATATGTTCCTTCTGACTGTGCCAAAATAGGAATATAAGAATACTTCTATGGTAGAAATATTTATTCCAAGTCATATCTCAATATCATAACTAAGAGAAAAACAATGAAAATATTTCCACTGAAATCAAGAATAAAACAAAAATGTCCATTATGGCTGTTAGTAGCTAACATTTTTTAAATGAAAAAGCTAGCTAAGGCAATTAGATAAGAAAACCAATAAAAGGTATAAATATTTTGAAAGAGGAGGCAAAATTATATTGCTGCATGTGATATAGCGATCCAACACTTAAAACTCAAACTACTACAAAACTGTTAGAAACAATATGAGAATTGAGGGAGATATCTAGTCACATATTTAAAAAAAAAATCAACAACTTTCCTGCATACAAATAACAATTACTAGAAGAAAATATCTTGTTCACAGTTGTAATTTTAAAATGAAGGAGCTGGCAGTGGTGAGGGGGAGGCCAAGGGGAGAGGGCAGAGAGACGGAGAGGGGACCGCTGCCTTTGATGCAGCACTGGGAGAGGCAGACCCTGGGTCTGGTTCTCGGGGCCCTGGCTGTGGGGGGAGGTTTGTCGACTGCATTCATCTGCTGCCACTGTCAGGGGCTGGACCACCTAGGGAGGGACTGCCCTGGGAGGTCCCCTGGGCCATGCCTTGACTGTCGATGTGGCCACTGGAGGTTGGGCTGCCTTCTGGAGCAGGGGCCCAGGGGCTCGGACCCCTCCTACCAGCTGGTCCGGCAGGAGTGAAGGGGCCCAGGGCATACTCTGCCTTCTC